AGAAAGAGAGAGAGAGAGAGAGAGAGAGAGAGAGAGAGAGAGAGAGAGAGAGAGAGAGAGTTTAAAAGATCCTCACTATGCCAAGACACCACCTTATCCTTACATTTACTTAAACTTGAGTGTATAGTTCAGCCTGGCTTTGAACTCACTACATAGTCCAGGCTTTCTGAGTGCTGGGATTACAAGCATGTGCCACCATGCCTGGCAAAATTCAGACTGTTTCAGGCTGCCAGACACCAGTTAAGGACTTTTTTTCTGTGAATCTGTGAAAATTCTTCCTATTTTCCTTTGGAGATTCATAGCATTTCACTCCAAGGTGGTCTCTCTCCCCCTTGATTTGCCCTCAGTGTTATTTTCATACCCTTCCTAGGGAAGAGAAAGTCATGTTTTTGTCTAGAAGGACTGCTCCTACGAAACAGAAAATAGATAGGACGTAAAGCAGATGACGGGAAGGGGCTGCAGTGCTAAGTTTGGCAGGTATGAAGCATCTCTTTTAGGTTTCCCATATGGCAGAACTCCACAGGTAGGTGTCTGCTTCCTTTACACTTCTTAATTGCCTTAGGAAATTATGAAAGGATTATAAAACTTTCATAAATTATGAAATTATGAAAGAATAATTTCAATTAATAAGCAACATCTTTTTTTAATTAGATTAATGTACTCCAAGTTGTTTGAAAAAAAACCTGAGTTTAAGTCTCATGAATAAAAGTAGGAACTCCCATTTCACCTAATATCTATTCACAAATTAGAGCAAATTCCATATCATTATCTCTGTATTTCACACAAATGTAGTTCTACCACTGTTGCTTGAATAAATACAAATATTAATTGGCACCCCATTATGTTAGCTGAAGATTTTTCTTTCTTTGCTTGCTATTGAACCTCCTTCAAAGCCCGAAGTCCTGATCTCATCATTTAAATTGCCCTTAAATATAGTTAATTTATAATCATTGTGATGAAAACATTATGTATATAGTGTTCAGCAGTACATTATGATGATGTTCTTCTAAATACATCTGATTTCCAATGAGTCAATGTTTATTTTTTCCTTTGCATAATTTTCCATCTACCTGAATTTATTTTATGTTTGAATTTTTTTTTTTTTAACCAGCATCCTGGATAATTAGAAACCCCATTCTCTGATCTCAGTGCTTCACTGGGTTTGGTGCCATACTCCTATAATCCCAGATCTCAGAAGGTATGAAAAGCCCTGAGAGTTCAAGGCCAAACTAGATTACAAAGTGAGTTCAAGGCCAGCCTGAACTGCATATCAAAAACTCGTCTTAGTTTTTGCTTTATGGCGGTTTTGCTTTGCTTTGTTCTCATTCCTAAGAACCAAACTCAAGACCTTGCACTTGCCAGACACGCACTTGTGCCACTGAACTATATCCCCAGCCCAGAAACCCCATCTCAAAAAAACCAAAATAAATAAATAAAAATGAATCTCGGTGTTTCTTCTTTAGATTACAAGAGGTTTCTTCCTTACATTTACAAAATATTTCTAAGCTTCTTCATGATTTTACTTTGTAAGACCATTATTTTTCTCTTCTATCCTTTTTACCAACTTTTTATTTCTGCTGTGACATTTGTTTGCTTTCTACATTTTTCTTCTTTTCAGATCATTTCTTTCCCATATTGTTGTACTCTTCTGTTACATGTTGGCATATTATCTATGGAACTAGTAGAGAAAAAAATAATCTCTTCTAACATAGTTCCAGGTTTTTTGTGTTTGTTCTTTTGGTACTGGAATTTCTTCCACAAAGTTAGGTAATTATTGATTGATAATTCATAATTAAGGAGAAAGTACTGCAAAGCTTACTGCTTTTATTTTCCTGTTGATGATTATAAAGGAAGGATAGATAGGTGATCACTAACAATAGATAAAGCCTCATTTTTAAGTTATTAAAAATTCACCCTGAACTTCTCACAAGTATTTAGAAAGGAAAAGGAAAATGTAACTTACCTACCCAACATCTAAACACATACTATAGCAGCTATTGAAACGGCTACTTTATTACTTGAGACTACCATAATGAAATACCAAAGACTAGGTGCCTTTTGAACATTGCACATTTGTTTCACGATCATGGAGAACAGAAAATTTGAGATCAAGCCAGAAGATCTGACGTCTCACAAAGGTCTTAATGATACATAAATGGGACCTTCTCACTGTCTTTTCATGCGATGTGATCAGTAAGGTCTTCCTGCTGTTTATTTTTGAGGACACTAAATTCATTCAGAAGGGCCACTCTCCCATGACCTAACTACCTTCCAAAGTTCCCACTACCCACAAATACCATTTTAGGAGTTAGGACTTCAAGTTATGAATTTAGAGAGGATACAAACATTCAGACCATAGTAAGTAGAATAGGTAGTGTAATAACAATAAGCACTGTTGAGAAATTTCAAGTAATAAATTCTGATAAGATTGCCAGAAACAGAAAATTGTTGGTTTAGGGAAAGTGAGAAACTTAGCAGAACATTAGGAAAAGGATAAGGAAGACTTCATCAACTAGGAAGATTTTGAGGTACCTCTTGAACACAAGAGGGCAGATCTCAACAATAGTCTTAGAATACACATTTGAATAAAGGAGCATTACTGCAAATTCTGCAAACCAGAAATTATAAGTGCATATAAAATTACTAAAGTGTCAGTATTGTACTGAAACATCAAACAATGATCAAGTATGTTATACAATAACTTGTATTGTATGTGTGTCCTTGGAAGGATATAAAGCAGAAAGTAAAGCCATCTCAGGCCTATTAAGGAAGGTATATTTTATCATGCTTCTTTCAAATATTTACATAAAGTTTGGGGTTACATTTTAATATTAAAGCTGTCCTACTTGACACCATGTCATAATGGAGTACATTTAAAAATGAACACAAAAGGCTGGACAGAGAGCTCAGTGGATTACAGTGCCTACTTAGGCAGACACAGCAGCCAGGGTTCTATCTCCACCGCGTTGTGCCGGCCCTGGCCCTGGGACATGCTGAGATGATGACTGAGACTGGGCGTGGTGGCGCACACCTGTATTCCCAGCACTTGGGAGACTGAAAAGAGGAGAATCACTATGAGTGTGATCTGTGTAATGAGACACTGTAGACCCTGTACTAACTACAAAAAAAAAAAGAAAGTAAATGAACACAAAAAAAACAAAGGCAAAAAAGCGTAACACTATTCATGTATTAAATATAAATTGTTAAGGTTCTACAATCTGAGGTACAGGATCTCAGGATAAATCCTGAGGGGATTTCACTGACCTTCTCAGACCAAAAAGCTACAACTCTTATTGCACAGGTCCTGCTTTACCTTGGTCTTAACCATCCAGTAGAAAAGTATGAAGACGAAATATAGGAAGTAAAGCCATGCTGTTATGTTGAGCTGTGGGGGACTCAGGTCAATAATTTCTGACATTGCCAGGTAAACAGAAGACCCAATGCTATTATGGGCTACTGGACTCTTTTAGAATATTTTGCTGAGTTTATACACCTATAATATTCAATAATTGGAACTTAAAAAAAGGGATACAGATGAATGTCCATTTTGTATCTGTGTATTCAAAGTGGTTAGGATAGATATATAGTTGCATTCTCTTAATAGAATGATTTTTTCTAATGGTGTTTGTAAATAGGATCTCAAGTCCGCAGCTTGTACAGCAATTAACCACTAAGAAGAATGTATGCACTGTGTTATTTGTTGAAACTGTATTTCCGATTTGATTTGAAACTGTCTCATTGCTGTTTATCAATAAACTTTTGAAAAATAAATAAATAAATAAATAAATAAATAAAAATTGTTAGATACATTTATTCACCAAATCTCATTTTGAATCTTCCTTATGGCATCTGTGTAAGGTCTAGAATTCATTTTAATTTTTTTAAAATGTATTTAGTAAAGGGTCTACAGGGTCTTACTACACAGATCAGACTTGTAGTAATCCTCCTGTTTTCAGCCTCCCAAGCTCTGGAATTATAGGCCCAGGCCACCACACCCAATCTCAATGGCCCTTTCAGCACACCTTGGGGGCAGGGCCAGCACTGCACACCAAGGATTGAACTAGGGTGCTGTGTTCTGCCTAAGCAGACGCTTTAGTCCACTTTAGTTTGGTCAGCCCTTAGAATTCATTTTAAGAGATAAATAAATTTAATCATAATACAAAATAAAATAGAAAATTAAATCATTTTTCCTTTTGAAAGTTTTCACAACTCTAAATCTCTATCTCCACATTTCCACTAACATTTTTAGTTACAATATCTATTCTGTTTTTCTTACTAAACTTTATTGTATCATGCAAGAAATAAGCCCAAAAAAAGTTATTCAAGTGTAGAGTATATAAAAATAGAAGGAGGAGTCTTGCTTCTAACTGTATCTCTACTACACAACATAATGCCTGGTCTATAGTAGTTCTCAGTAAATAGTTGTTGAATTAATGAAGAAAAATATGGCCTGATTAACAATGAAATCAGGCTGGCCAGATAGCTCAGCAGATTAAAGTGCCTGCTTAGGCAGACACAAGGGCCAAGGGTTCCATCCCTGCCTGTGGTTCGGGCCCCACCCTTGGGGCACGTAGAGATGGCAATTGAGACTGGGTATGGTGGTGTGCACCTGTAATCTCAGTACTTGAAAGGCTGAAAAACAGGAAGGATCACTACGAGTCCAATGTGTGTAATGAGACCCTGTAGACCCTGTACTCAATACATAAAATGAGAGAGAGATCATTACTAAGAAAAGTGTAGTTGAATGAAGTAGGAGTTTTTAGGTGCTAGTGAGACAGGAATGATAGGAATGGAAACAGACTCTAGTGCTGCTCTATGTAAGCCTATTTTCAGAATCACCTAGAGAACAGAGGAAAAAGGGTAACTAGTACTGTGAGATTCTTTTCAAGTTCAATAATGCAAAATCTTTATGATATAAGATGCAAGGTTCTGCACTGACTGAAGTTTTCAGGGAATCCTAAATATAAGTTGAGTTTAGAAAAATGTTTCCAAGAGGACTGAATACAGCAGTGCTCATCTTCGCCACAGCTCCCTGTGTGTCATACAAGGCAACAGTCCCTATAGGGTCTACAGGGTCTCATTATGATCCTTCCTGTTTTTCCATTCCCTACACAAAAAAATACCTGAAATCCATCAACCATTCAGTGTTTGAGTCTCCCCCCTTACAATGTGCCACGTCAGGTCACAGGCATTATTCTTACTTTCCAGGGAGAAAAACGCTGCCATGTGACCTGCACTGTTTTTGTCATCTTTCTCCAGGTAAAACATCTGGAAATAACAGATGGAGGGTTAGCATCCAGGAGCCAAACATCCAGCCTGGAGCATGCCGTCCTTTTGTGTACTGTGCCAAACAGAATCTAACTAATGTATATGAATAATCTTCAAAACCCAGAAAGTAGACTCTAAAGAATAGGAATATTATAAATATTGTGAGAATTACACCGTATCTAAGTCTATATGTGGTGCTCCTAAGGGCATGAGAAAGGGAAATAAGCTAAAAATGGTTGAGATCAATGAGAAAGACATCTAACTTATTGCAACCAAATACAACAACTTTTATTTAATAATAAATCAGTAAATTAGGTGCAGAATTATAATTCACTCTATGTGTGGAAATAAAACGATGAGTATTTATTATGGAAAGCAAGTTCACCCTTTTGAAACTGCTATCAGAAAACTTTATTATTCACCCTTGGTGAAAGTATGGGTTATCTTACATTCTTCAACGTTTAGTGTTTTGTCCCTGGCTCACTCCCTCCCCTTGTTCTTTCCTGTTACACATACTTCCATCTTCATTTTTTCAGCTACCTTAAATTCCTCTAGAACAACAGTAATATAAGCAAGGGAGACTATAGTTCAAGTAAAAGAGGCAGTTGGCCTCTATGATTATGTTTAAAACTATCGATGCTGTATTCACAAAGCAAATCACAAGCATATGAAATCAAACCAGTAACTAAACACAGGAGGACTAGTGCTGTTCTGATGTTGATTGGGGTATATTTACCTGGGTAACTCTTTGCACATGGATTAAGAAAATTTATATAAAATAAAGCCTGGATCTTGCTAATAATGACATGCTTTAAAAATTAAAGCATAATGATGATCATTTTTAACTATTATGATAACTAATCATCCAGTTTTATTCCAGTCACCAAATAACATTTTTTTAGCTTTTTAATTAAAATGGGTCCCTAAAGCTGAGTAGCTAAAATTAAAAGTCATATTCTGGTTCTGTAACTCAAAGACAATTTTTCAAATACTGATAGGAATGGTGTCATAGACACAAAATGAGAGGCATAATTCACACCAAAATCACCGATTTTCTAGGAGAGTAGTTTTAGAGAGTACACTACATGAATTAAAGTTGGATGAATGACATTTAAAAAGTAAACAACTAACCTCTCTACTGAGCATCGTCACTCCTTCAACAAAGATTCACTTTTCAATGCCAAAGCAACATAAGACTGATATTGCAAATACCAAGACCTTTAGATCCAGAGTCATTTTTCATTAATAGTTTGTAAATTAAGGAGTATGAGCAGCACCTTCATTATCCAAGTTAGATTGTTTATCTAAAAAGCTTGCTACCCCTTCATCCCCAGGGAAATTAAAACACAGCTCCATATAATGATACCTAATTGTATGTATCTCCTGCCGTCCTACCCGGACATTCCCTCCCCTCCCCTACAAATATGTCCCCAAGCCTGACTACAGGCAGTCTGGGTCAGTGGGACTGGACCTCGAGCCAGGAGGCCTGGGTCTTTCTCCCATCCTTTTCAGGAGGCTTTACATATTCTGAGCTTCAGTATCAGCACCTGAAAACTCACGAGGTTGAGCAGGTTGGATTGCTAGGTAGGACAATGGATTTCACATTGCTGTATCAAACCGAATGAACATCAACAGTGCACTTTTACAGCCTTGTTTGAAAGACTGAAATTGAGTTCCTACCTGTGAAAAACTATAACATAGTGCTTGACTTCAGATACTAAACAAGAATACTGTCATCTGTCTGAAAAGCGTTTATTATCCTAATTATTTTCACATCAATAAATGATACTGAATACATGCCAAAGATGCTTCCTCTTACTTAGACAAAATTTGAATTAAATATTTTCTTTCCTAATTCTAGAATGGGGATTGCTACCTTCCATGGTGCTATTCTCTCTAATAAAAAAGCACACTTGAAGGTTTCAGGCACACGTGAAAAGATCCCAAGAAATACTTGCACACTTCCATCCTACAGTTTTCTAAAAAATCTATAATAAAGGTTCCCAAAGTGCACGTGGGAATGGAATGAGTGTGATATACAATATTAAAGTTAATACACTTTGTTTTTTTAAAAAAAAAGCAATACAAAATTTTCAGGTATATTTTCAATCTTCCCACCTGAGTCCCTTTTTATTTGCTGTACTCTCCTATGGCTTTCACCCCGTTTTGCCCTGCGCCTCCCAGTCCTTGCCCAGCTCCTTTCCCTCCTTGCTGGGTTCTCCGGGTGACTCTTGCCTTCCACCACTTTTCCAGCCCACCCCTTTCTGCCTGCGCGCTCACCTGTCGGCGCTAAGGGCAGTGAGAGTGAACACAGACACCCCCACGGAGGTGAGCTGGATGGCGGGGATCAGTTTGCAGCCCACCTTCCCGAACATCCACTCGTCGAAGAAGTAGCGCGAGGCGTCCACCGGCACGCAGGTGAGCAGCAGCAGCAAGTCCCCAGCGGCCAGGTTAGAGATGAAGATGTTAGGGACGCTCCTCATGGCGCGGTTGGTGAGGAAGATCTTCACCAGCATGATGTTGCCCAGCAAGCCCACCGTGATGATGAGCAGGTAGAGGGACGGGATCACACAGCGGATCACCAGCTCCGCCGTGGGCTGCTCAGGGCCGGGCAGGAAATCCTGGTCAGATCCCTGGAAAAGGAGACTGCTCTGATTCCCGCCGAGGGTGTGAGCGAGGCTGGACTGGGACTTGGCGGGCATGCTGTCCTGTGCCTGAGATTCCGCGGGACTTCCGCGCCCAGGGGTCCGGAAAAGTGCAAGCGCACGACTTGGATCTAATCAATTTCCTTTCCACCCTGGCAAGCTTCACCGCTCGTAGGGAGCAAGTCACACCGCTGCGTCCCTCTTACAGCAGGACCTGGTGCAAACTGTCCTCGCTCTGGTGCTCCAATCCGGATGGGGTTACAACACTACAAGCCCGGGATTTAATGTTTTAAGGGAAAAAAAAAAAAAAAAAAGCGGAGCAGTTGCGTCTTCTCGCCTCTCTAGCGGTTCATTCTGGCTTACAGCAAGCGAAGAACCCCTTGAAAAACGAAGCTCTTCCTTTTGGGGTCACTAGAAGTACCTGCCCTCTTGCAGGAGCCCCGGGGCAGAAGTCATCGTGGCGCTGTCCAGCTACACGCTGCTGAACTCTGGCAGCTGGCGCGGGGAGCTGCCACTCCGTGGTCCCGCGGCTTTGCTCTTGTTTCTGTCTTTGCTGTGGTGTTGTGTAGCACTGGAGGGGATCTGAGTCCTCTCCCACACAGCAGCCCTGGAAACATCCGTCCCTCTGAGGGGGAGGAGCCCCACGCAAGAAGTTGGAGGACCTCTGAAGGCTGGGGAGCTGAGTTGTCCAATCTCCAAGCGGGAGCATTCAATTTAAAAAGCAAAAGAGTGATCAAAGATAAAGGAAATGAAATACACCCTCTCTCCACTCTTTTATCTTTAATCTTCTTCTTTTCTCATTACACATAAGACACATTATCAAAATCTATGGCAAATATTTATCTTTATTTTTTGTGACAGTAAAGGAAATTGCCATGAATCCCTTTGAAAACACTTCTCACTTGATACACTCTTCACCCATCATTCTTGGTACTTTCCAAATCAGATCCAGAAGTCCTTCTTTGTGTCTATGCTAGATGTGATCAAAAATATGGTGAATGCTGTTGGGGAGTGCCATCCAATGAAAAGGCGGGCTCCTGAGAACACTGTGTCATCCTGCATCCCACTCACTGGATTTGGCACCGTGAGCCTTCTGGCTCCTCCCAAAGGCAAACTGACCATGAAAGTTAAAAGTTTTAAATCAACTCAGGACATTGAAGCAGCCACAACAACTCAACAATGTGTACACTTTTACATGAAAGCAGACTTACAAAACTGTCTCAGAAAGTGACAAGAAGGGTTGGGGAGATAGTTCTAAGCACCAGTCTAAGAACCCGCCTGGCAAGAGCAAGGTCCTGGGTTCAATCCCTAGTACTGCATGCTGTGCCAGCCCAGGAAACCTGGGTGCATAAAACTGGGCATGGTAGCCCATGCCTGCAATCCCAGCACTGGGGAGGCTGAGGCAGGAGGATCACTATGAATCCAAGCTGCATAGTGAGAGCCTGTAACAAATATATAAATTAAATTAAATAAATTTTAAAACAAAGAGAAAGTAACAAGAGCAATGGTAGGATAGTGAGGAGGATATTCTGAAAGGGATTGGTATTAATGTGTCTTTCACTGTAATAAACTTTTAAAATTTAAGCATTGACCATATATTTTAATCACAGTGTATGGGAACTCCCACCTAGACACATTACATATTTTGTTGAACTATAATACAGAGAAAGCACCCAATTCCTACATTTATTGGTCAAAATTACTACCATTCTCAATGAGCAATAACCACGAACCTTCTAAGTAACCATTACCCAGCCTGTTGCTAACATAAGTTAGTTTGGTAGGTTCTGAGCATCATATTTATACCTTCCGGGAAAGCTTCTTTCACTTGACATTGTATCCATAAGAACTACGTATGCATTGTGTGTTGCATTTTTCATTATTACATTTTATTTTCTAGAGTGATTTGTGCCTAGTATTCCATTCTAATATTGATTGACATCTGATGCTTCACAGTTTTGAATAATTTAGATAAGGCTTCTATGAAGGTTCATTTTCATGTCTTCTGGTATATATTTGTTTTTTTGTTTTTTATGTTTTTATTTAATTTAATTTTGAAAAGTAAAAACAAAAGCAAGAACAAAAGTCAGAAACAAAGACAGAAACAGGGTAACATACCATGTTACAGATTTTAAAACCAAGAATAGCTTATTAACAATGGTTGACATATTATCTAGTTTTATCATCAAATCCGCTGCTCAGATTAACAGATTCAGTTATGTAAAATTGGACATATTGTTACATACTACTCCTTGCTTTCAAGAAACCTTAAATTTTTATTCTTGTCTCTCTTTTTATTTTATTTTATTTTTTTCATAATTTTATTGAGAAACAAATAGCAATGAGAAAATCCAGGTGGGAATGTTCTAGTCACAGTTATTTAGTCACCTGCATTAGAACTGATAATGTCCACTACATTGAGTTACCACCTTTTTTTTATTTTAGAAAGTTGTTTCAAAGCATCTATTAATGCTGAATGTGTGCATACCTATGACAAATGCCACTCCTGAGTATGAATTACATAAAAGTCTTATTTTACTTGAGATAGGGCCTTATGTTTCAGCCAGATTCAAGTGATCTTCCTGCCCCAGCCTCCAGACTAGCACATACACAGGTGTACCACTGCTCCACACTTGATAAGCCTTTTAAATAGGAGGTGCTTAGAGTAAATAAGAGTAAATAATTTCTTCAATCTCCCCCAGTTAAGTCTAAGGTAAATTGCTCAGAGATGGCTGCTCAGTTATTCAACTAACTAAATGACATAGTTTTAATTTTGAAAAAAAAATTAGCCCTTAATTATAAAAGAATAAAATTGTACGATAACATGGAAATTAGTCAAGCATCATCGGCAACAATCTATTCATAAGCACATAAAGACATACATGTGCAAAGTCATTGACACATGAAGCAACTGTTTCAGACATCAACCACCAAGAACAGCATTTTCTAATCATAAATGGATTAGATAAGCATTTCCAATGTAACTAATTTCCTTATTTTGTAACTGTTACAAATTCTTATTGTACTTTTCTCGGTTTTTTAAAAATGTATTTGGCTGTTACAGGGTCTCACTATGCAGTTCAGACTCCTAGTGATCTTTATGTTTCAGCCTCCCCAGCGCTGGGATTACAGGCATACAGGACCTTGCCCGGACTCTGTGGTCCACTTAGACTGCCATGTGGGGCTGGCAGGGCATGTGATACTGGTCCTGCATCTGCCTAAGCAGGCGCTCTAACCCGCTGAGCTATCTGGCTGGCCCTTAATTCTTATTTTGAGACAGGTCTTATTCAGTGTTAAGTTGCCGAGGCTGGACTTGAATTCAGTTCTCCTGCCTTAGCTTCTCAGAGTGCTGGGATTACAGAGCTCCAGCCCAGATATCAACTTTTGTACTGTAATTATCTCAAGTTAATATAACTTACATAAAATCCCTTTGAAATCTAAACTATTTTATACATTTCTATACTCCCCTTTGCTCCTGTCTGTGTAATCTTAACCATTTAAGTGGGAAAAGTACTTAGTCCAAAGGCTAAATTAACAAATATCCAATTGCAAAACATTTAACAAATAAGGAAATTCTGTTGAATTATTTTCAATTCAAGTAAATCTATATGTATTTGTTCAAAGCTTAGGGTATCTGACAATGGAATGTAGCAATCATTTATAATGATGATAATGTTATGATCAGTTGATGAGATTGTTATAAAATTATTGCTATGTGACTACTAGAGACATCACAGAATTACACATAAGAACAAGTATTGCCTTTTTTAATACACATCAAAAATGAGCATCTATTAAAGAGAAAAATGGGTTTTTTTCAATGTACTATATACTATTTAAGGTTCGCATCTACTTTAATGTGTATAAATACTCTTTTAGGTAAGTATTTAAGTCTTAAATTTACACATAAGACAACTAAAAGTTAGATAATTAGCCTAATTTCAAGAAGACTTTACTATAAACATTCTAAACTTATTTTCAATTCAGTATCCTATGCATCTCATTATTTCCAGTTTTACAAATTGTAAGGAAAAAAATGTAACTGCTGTATAATTGAACTTTTTTTACTCTAGAGGGAAAAAGTTTCTGGAGCAGAGAGCACGATACAGAGTCTAAACAGAGTGTGGAAGTCACTGTGACTTACAGAGTTCATCAAATGCACAGTACATATTTTATTACCCTAATACCTTGAACTACTAAGAGCAACATTCTTGCTACTTTAGATTTGTTTTTTTGTTTTGTTTTGTTTTTATAATTTCAATTTTATTTTCATTTCCAGATTTCTCTCTCCCTCTGTCTCTCTCTCTCTCTGTCTCTCTCTCTGTCTCTCTCTCTCTCTCTCTCTCTCTCTCTCTCTCTCTCTCTCT